TTTGAGAATGAATGTTCTCAAGAATTGGGGTATATTCTTGAGAGAGTTGTAATATTATCTCTTTGGCCTCAAAAGAAAGAACAAATTAGTGAATTTGTTGGAAAATCCTTAGTGTGGATAGCTAAGGTAGTAGACGTAGACTTTTGTTGAGAAAGTCGAACCACTCTAAATCGTTGTGCAACTTCTTTCAATTTTCTGCAAAAGCTTCCACCAATTTTTTAATTGCCAATTCACCCCCCTCTTGGTCGATTTCGTCAATCGATTAACTCAACATCAATAATCACATATTAATTAAATAAAAACGAAAGTGACCAATAATATAGTTTACCCTATTTTATTTACTATCACTTTAGTAATTTTTTTGTTAAAAATTATTTAATCTAATCGTAATATGTCACGTGTCAAAAAAATAAAAAATTGAACAAATATTAAAATAATAAAAAATATCAAAATTTTAAGCTCTATTTTTTGAGTTTATTTTTTTCAAAATTGTAAGTATGCTTATTTTTTTTAAAGAAATAATAATCCAGAAAAATGTAAAAAAATCATAAAAGTAAAAAAGTAAAAATAAAATAAAAATTTTAATTATTAAAAAACAAATTTCAATTTTTTACATTTTTTATAATTTACATTTTTTGGTACATTGGGTAATATGACTACAGCATAGCCTACATTCTCAGAGTGTCTATTCCTCTGGCATCAGCTAGTAACAGCGAGGCAATTTCCTCCAGTGGGTTGGTTAGGACGTGAGCTCCCTCTTGCCTTTCAAGAGCCATTTTGGCCAGACGATCAACGCATCTATTCCCTTTGCACCAAATATGTCGGATCTCGGTGACCCATCCTTCCTTGCAGATATCCACACAGTCTTTAACTAGAGCTTCTTCATGCGGGGCTTCCGTTTCACCCTTGATTAAAGCTTCCATCACATATTTAACATCTGCTTCAATTATCAATCTTTTCGCTTCCAAGGATTTCGCCAGGATTATTTTCTCAAAATTACAGTTATGCTTAATTAATTTTAAAAAATGTAAATCCATAAAAACATTAAAAACATAAAAGAAATATTAAAAAATGAAAAGAACAAAAAAAATCTTAAAAATTATGATATTTTAGAAATAAATTTTATACTTTTTATTATTTTTGAGTTTTTTAAATTAATATTTTTTAATTTTATAATGTGACAGTCTTTGATTGGACCACATAATTTTTAAACAGAGAACACCATTGAAAGAACGGATAAGATAAAACGATAACACCGAAAATAAATGAAAATAGTTGTACAAAGAATAAAATGTACACTAAATCGTATAATCTTTTGACATTGAACATTTTTACCCCTAATATTCTTATACTCAAACTTAATATATCAAAAAATAATAATAATTATTTTATCATCAAAGTCATTGGGGTCCGTGCATCTCTCATGACAGTTAAATGTTCATCAACTCATTATTTCATCTATTTTATGAATAGTTATACATTTTCCTACTTCGAAATTATACAAAACAAAAATACTTTTCTTTAAAAAATAAAGTTTTTATTACGATATTCTCTCGTTGTAGACACAATTTGACTGGTGATTCAAAGTGATTGGAAAGTACATATTCAACATGTTTCTCACAAACGAAATCAAATAGTAAATGTTGTAACGAAATTATATCGAAGATAACTTTTAGACGAGATACTGATTGATGTTCCTCGTTCATAGTTTCATATTTTTGTATACACGGTGTTCGAATTCAGATCCTTAATGATAATAATAATCTCCTAATTACTGTGGTTGCTTTGTTCATACGAAGAGAAAATTTGTACGAGAAAAAAAGAAGAGAAATAATGTAAAATATCTTTAGCCTTTTTCCCAATTTGACCCTCAAAATATAGCTTATTCCTAATTTAACCCTTCACGTGTCACTAATTATTATTTTTATTAATCTGGAATAAGTACAATGCAACATCTGTTCAAGATAACATTTGTTCAAATCCTGATATTCCTAATGCTCGAACCTAAACCTCAAAGAATAACAACAATTCTTTTACCACTGTAGTCACTGAAATTTATACTTCGCCTGTCACTAATTACTTGGCTAAAAGGGCCCCAAATTTGTTTTTTAACGACGTCAAACAAAAATATCAAAATTGTTGATGAACCAAAACTTTAAGATTCATATTTGGGGAAAAAAACTTTAAGTTCAAAATGGAAATTGTCATAATTTAAGAGACAAATTATCCACTAAACTATTTCATAATCGTTTATTTATGCAAATTAAAAAAATACCAAAATTTATATATAAACTATTTTAACAAAAATAATTATTACATATGATAATTTTATGCAATGCAGATTCAAAAATTGTCACTCCATTTTTTATTTAATAGTGTAATGATATATACGTATACATATGCATATATATATATATATATATCACTTTAATAGATTAAACAAAACTTTAAGTATTAAAATCGATTTTTAAAATACGAAGATAACATCAAAATATTTATTATAATTTAAAGGTAATTTGTGTATTTGTCTCTTTTTAAAACTTACACGTATTTATTGTTTACATTAAACTCGAATTTCTAAAAGAGAAATGTATCAAAAGGAAACCTAATTTCTCTCTCTTATAAAACCCTATACGTTTACGCCGTATAGGTATATGAAGTAATAAACGGGTTCACCATGATATGAAGTAATAAACGGGTTCACCATGATACATTACAAGAGATGCGTGGGGTCTTTTTTGGTGTATTGGTATATGAAGTAATAAACGGGTTCACCATGATATCTGAGGTGGTTCAAAAGTTGTTTCTCTCACAGGGAGTTATTCTAACTCTGATCTTAATCCTCTTTATTGTTCTGATCTTATGATTGATGGCTCTAATGTTTGGAATGAATCTTTGATTTATAGGTTGTTTTCTAAGGAAGATGTTATACAGATTCTTTCAGTTCCTATTGCACCTTGTGCTAAAGATGTTATTGTTTGGGCTAACCATGATTCGGGTATCTACTCAGTTAGATCTGGTTATTGGTGGTTACAAAAACGACATCATGATAATGAGAGGAAGTCTAAATTGTGGTAAGTTATGGTTAAATTGAAAATTCTTCCTAAGATACGTGTGTTTGCTTGGCGGGTTGCCCGAAATGCATTACCTATGGGAAGTCGGCTTAAAAGTGTTGTTTTGGTAATGGAATTTGTCCTATATGTTCTAATGGGGAGGAGACGATTATACATGCCATGAGGGACTGTCCTGTAACTTTGGAGACTTTACATCTTGCAGATCTGCCTCCTTCTATAATTTTAAGTACAATGGATAGTCCTTTATTATGGATGGATGAAGTACTCTCTATTCTAGGAATTGATGCTTTTGCTGGTTTTTTGATAATTCTGTGGAATGTTTGGAATAATCAAAACTCATTTGTTCATTCTGACAGGTTGCAACCGACGTGGCTCTTGGTGACTAATGCAAACATTCTACATCAGGACTATTTAAGGGCGATTAGTGTGGGGATGAATAAACAACGGTCTACAAATACTGCTAAACGATGGACTCCACCTTTTGAGGGAGTTATCAAAGTGAATGTTGATTGTGCCTTTGTTGCAGAGCGTCGATTGTCTGCAATTGGAGTTGTTGCTCGTGATAAGTATGGACAAGTGTGTGGTGGTTTGGCACAGTCTTCTGTTGGATGTTTTGAGGCGAGTTTTGCAGAACTATCTACTTTACTAGTTGGTCTTAGAATGACTTGTGATATGAGATGATATGATGTTCAGTTTGAAACCAATTCCTTAATGCTCATTCATAAGATTACACGAACTTCTACAAATATTTCCACCCTCAGATTGAATGTTCAAGAGGCTCGTACTATTTTTCAGGACCATCCTCGTTTTTGTATTTTATATACTCCTAGAGAGTGTAATCAGGTTGCTCATGTATTAGCTAGCTGGGCTTTATATTCGGGTGGTTCTTTGTTTTTTGAGTCGGTTTGTCCCGACATCATTGTTCAGAATGTTAAAAACGATGTCATTGATCTTTGATTAATATAAGTTGGGCACTCTTTTCCCCTTACTAGGTTTAGAAGGAGTTTTTAATGAGGCCCATGAGTTTTCATTCAAAAAAAAAATATTCCATCACATTCTCACCTCATTTTCCTTCTTTCTGCCTTCCATTTCCTTTCCAATCCTTTCCCTCTTTTCTTTTCTTCTTCATGTTTGAATTTTTCCCATCATGATCGATGATCTTTACGACGGTCACTAGGTATTTTTCTTTTGTCATTTTCTCCCTTCTCTTTTGATCATATCTCTATTTTCCTTATCATATCACTTTCTTTAATCTCTTTTTATTGCTTCCTTTGTCTCTGCCATTCCAGTGGATTTTGATAGATTTTTACTACGATTCTATGTCATGTTGCCCCCTCTATCTATGTCATTCCAACAGATCTTGGTGAATTTTTACTATGATCCTATGTCATGATCTTTAGTAGATGATACACCACAGCTCAAAACCTCTCCTCTCTAACAGTTTCTCTTCTGTCTCATTAGAATTGTAGGTTTTTATCAATCTTCTCCTCAAGGTGTCGTCTTTTTATTTTGTCGGTTACGAGAATATGTTTCTCGATCTATTTTTTATTACTAGAATTATTTTTTTAATAATTTAGATTGATTATAAATAGTATCTATTCATAACTTTTTTTAATTATTAGTAACGAGCACACACACTTTGCATCGCAACTACTCAAACCTAAAAATTTGAGTAAATAATATTTTCTTTTATCATTTAAATTGCTAGATAAATTATCTAAAATAATCTTATGCTTGCTCTTATTATTAAAACCACACCGTTCGTGCTTTCGTTTCTATTTGTCTAAGAACATATTATTTTTTCTCTAGTGCTTCTTGATAATATATATATATATATATATAGTTAAAATTGTAAAATATTTTTAGTGGAAACCAAATCTAAAATTAAACCTGAATAATCTACACAACATCAACAGGAAACAAATCAAATTCAAATTTAAATCCAACCGTCCAATTACTACCTCTTGGTTTGGCAAGTAATCTCCATTAATATCCAGATTGGCCAGACGGCCTGTATCTAACCTGGCTGAAGCGTGAGTTGAAGAAGAAGAAGAAGAAGAAAAAGAAAAGGATCCGCTTCAAATATGGAGAATCCCTTAATGCATTTTCCTCAACCCTCCCTCGTCGATCAACCTCCAGCACCAGTAGGCCCTCCTTCTTCTTTGGCGGTGTCTTCAGCGTGCCCCTTGGATCGTTCATCTGCTTCTAGTAAGTATTACAATTCATTTGTCTTTTTGGCTGCAGAAAAGTCAATTTTTGGTTCGTACATGCAAAAAGAAGTTTGGGTTCTCTTTAGATGTAATTGATTTCTCTTATGGGCGTTTGAAAGGAATTTTTGGTTGAATTTTACTGTTATTTGTTTGCTTTGCCCAATTGAATTTTCTAGGGTTTTATGCTTTGATGGACTGAATGCACGCGGAGATAGAAAATACAAAATAAAATAAAAAGGGAAAGGATTTTGAAATGTGGGTTTTACATTTCATGATTGCTTTTCGTTAAATGTAGTTTCCCCCCTTTTTTGGTGAATTTCTTAGACATGCAGTTTGATCAGTTCGTGCTGTAAAAATCTTGGAATATTTAAAGTTTTCAATGTTACAGTAAAACTTGAGGAGGTCCTCTTTCAAACTTGTTGATAATCTGAACCTACTTGAGAACTTATAAAATGGAATTTTTTTTGGCTATTCTTTGAAATCGACTCTTGTTTCAAGTCTTTAAGCAATGATACCTTGTGAAAAGTGCTTTTTGCATTTTCATTAAAAATTGAAAACATAGACTTTCTATTATTTGAAGGGGAACGATATTCTTTTCTTTTTCGGCTATTCACACGGAGGGTCAAGGGATTGGTTGGAAGGGGGGAAGGAGCAATGCTCCCAAAATGGACTTTTGTTTCGGAAGGTCTTCACAAGGAAATATGCCTTTTTCTACTGCGTTTTGCCCCATTTACGAAATAAAATTGTTTGAAATATTTAATAACTTGATTGGTAACAACGAGTTCTTTTTTCTTCTGTTATTTTATATACCTCTATATTATTGATGGTGCAGTTTCTGATTCTGTGAAATTTCATTCATGAATGGTTGCTTGATGCCATGGAGGAGCCTAATCCTATTTTGGCTATCACACTTGCTGCCATAATGCTAGCAGCAGGAATTTTTCTTGTAGCCTCTTTTCAAAGTTATTCCTTACGTAATTATCTAATATCTTTGAAATGTATAATCACAGTATTATTAGGGGCTATTAAAGTGCTAAAATATGGGAAAGAGTGGATGTCTTGTTGTTGCCTCCAGAAAGTATCTTGCTACCAGCTAGCCAAGGGAAAGGGAGCAAAACAGGTGATAAACATCCTTTATTTGGATGTTGTTATGGAAGGGTAGGAAGGGAAAGGTGTAAAAATAGGTAGCATTATTTTGATCTAGGATGGAAAAGGCCTAGTAGAGGATATAAAGTTTAATTGTAGTGGCAAATAATAACATTAATTCCTACATGTGTAAAGGGTATTATGAAGGTAGAATTAGAGTGGAAGTCGTAGGTTGCAGTAGCACAAGCAGGTTTAGAAAGATTAAAGAGTTGGCATTTTGGAATTGAAATTGCTGTTGACAGAACTAGTGCTTTACTCAGGCGAGTGCTTTCTTGCTGCACCTTGCACCTTAGAATATATAGAGATCTTAGCGCTTAAAGTGCGCCTACTGCTGTTGACAGTACTCGTGTATGGACAATTTTTCTCTTATATTTTTTTTGGTTGAATTCATGTTGCACAGTTTATTTTATTTTTTGACTCGCTTGTAAGCCATATTTTGTCTTTTGCCTTCTTTTTAACTTAAATAAAGTCGGAATCCCTATCTAATTCATGTGTGATTTTGTGTAGGACCTTCAGGACCCTTAATGTATAAGAATCGGTTACAAGAATTTACACAACGATCATCTATACAGCTTCCAGTGTATCAAACTTTTAATGAAGGACCTATGCATGCACCAAAGTTTCGGTCAACTGTGTTAGTTGATGGTGTAACATATACTTCTGAGAGCACCTTTTCAAATATAAAAGCTGCTGAACAGGATGTTGCCAAACATGCACTGGAGTGTATATCGAAGAAATTAAAAGATGAAGGCTGTTCTCTCGATCAAGTGGTTTGTTGCTTACATCTTCCTTTATTTATATGTTTGTTGGTTATTCATAGCTGTTTGTCTTGAAACTTACTTGTCAAATTGGTACATATTTGGTCTCATTTATCATATCTTGGTCCATTGTTAAAAAGAGGACAAAGTTCGATAAGGTGTTTGACTTTGATATCATGTTGTCTACTATCTCAGTTGTTAATTATAAATAATTAATAAGTGTACATGAAAATGAAAATGAAAATAGGAAATGGAAAATGTTTTCTGAATATAAAGATCCTTAAATTTACATCATACTTGCATATCAAAAAAAACTTTGATATCAGCTTTGGGTTTTGCTAAACTGTTTGTGGTTGGTACATTAGGATATCATGTTGTGCAAGTCTATCTTGAATGAATTTGTGGTCAAGACGAATCTGGAATTGCCAGCTTACACTACCATTCAGTCTGAAGGATTGCCTCCCGTTTTTGTGTCTACTTTGGTTCTCAATGGTGCAACTTACAGAGGGGAAACTGGTAGAACTAAGAAAGAGGCTGAACAATTAGCTGCACGTGCTGTCATCCAATCCCTTCTTGGTATTCATTCTTCTCCTTTTTTGAAGAAAACCACAAATATTTTTCCATGATTTTAATCAACTTAGCTGGATGAGTTTCTGATATTTTTGTTTGACCAATAATGCAGTTGATGATAGGTATGTGATAGTTGTTTCAGAGATCATCAGATCCAAAACTAAACTTCAGAATGCCTCGAATAAAGTCAAGGATTCGAACATTGTCAATTTCGACACTACACTTGCCGAGGCAAACAGAGTGATCCACAACAATGAAGAGGTTGAAGTTACTGTAACCACTAACTGTGTGCCAGCTAGTGCATCTCTACAGCCAAGCTCGGGAGCAAAACATCCTCGCCATGAATTCAAGAATCCAACTGTAGGACAAGGTACTGAGCGCATTGATCTTCCAATTGCTTTTGTGCCTTCTGCCGTTGGACAGGCTTCAATTGGTGAACACTCATCAAGAAAGTCACAGAAGAAGAAGAAAAAACGGGCTAGACTAAATGCTGATACTCGGTAAGATTGTGTTTCTGAAAGAGTTTTATGAATATCCGTCAATGAGCTTCGGTATCTATGTTTACTTGACATTCATGTAATGGTTTGCAGGTTGGCTGTTGCTGGTATCCCATTCAATCAAACCACACCGTGTTCACTTGCTCCCTGAACCTGGACAGTTGCTAGTTTGCATTATATAGCTAGTAGTTTGTTAGATTTGGCAAAAACCATGGTTATGGTTCTCAGATAATAAGAAGTATTGTTGTTCTGTAGTAAAATTAACTGTTTAATGTTTTTATCTTCTATGCTATTGCCTAAATTTCAATATTAGGAGCAGCTGCTAAGAAACTTTTGCTAGTCGGGCAATGGCGGGTGAGGTGGAAGAAACTTGGGCGCTCTATGATTTGGCTAAAATGTGGAAATTGTGTTCCTTGTCCTTACCTTTTTATTTGTTGTTAGAAGAAGACCTGGTGGGTTTTTTTAGTAATAAACAGTGGAGGTTGTGTGATAATTAATTTAAGGTGATTTTGTACCTAAAATATTATCATGTTCAACTTAAAAAATTATACAAATTTTTAACATTTTTAATTACAATTGAAAATGTTATATTGTGATGGTTTTAGAGTTTATAATCGAATAAATTATACAAATTTATAATATTTTTTTGTTATAACTGTAAATATTATATAAATTTGACCTAAAATATTATCTTCTCATCTAAAAAATTATTTAAATTTATAACATTTTTTTGTTGAAATCGATTTTTTATCGTTAAATACATTTGGCACCTTAGTTAAAAAAAAGTTAAATTTTACTTGACTTCTTAATTTTATGTAAATATTAATTTAAATTTATGTCAATTTTTAAGGATATATTTGAATTTTAGATAAAATATTAATTTACTTTTTAAACTTGATTAAAGCTTTTTGTTGTTATCATCACTCTATCGTTGTCGGCCACTGTCAAATATTGTAACAATCGTTAAACCTTAAAATTTTTAATTCAATATCTTTTGATCTTCCAAATATGAATTTGATGTTTGTTACACTGAAGAATTCTTTAAGTTCTACAAATCTAGTTTAAAATCCTTAATTTTCTTTAAAATTAAACTATAATAATAAATTTATTTTTAATATATATTTTTTTAAAAATAACAACACTAAAATCTAAATTCTATAATTAAATCTATAATTTGAGTGATACAATGAGTAAAAAAGTATAATGATGAAATTAGTCCTTAATGTTTACTTAAAGGATCACTTTGATATTTACTTTTTTAGAATCTTTTGGCTTATAATATTTTATTTTTTGGTTAAAATATCACCTGTTGGATATCGTTAGTTGACTAACGATAAACATATATTATTGACATGACATTTTTACATGTGTTTGGTGACATGACACATGACACGTCATAATTTTGGGTGAAATGTCACATGCCACATTATCACTTTAGTGATATGACAAATGACATGTCAACAATTAAACACACGTGGAAATGTCGTATCAGTAGCATGTGTTGATCATTCGTCAATTAACGATTTCCATCTAATATGAATTATTTTAATAAAAAATTAAAATGTTGAGGTTAAAATATTTTAAAAAAATAATTAAAGTGACTATTTAAACAAATTTTAAGCGTTAATTTTGTCATTATGTCTAAAAAATTATGTCTAAAAAAGAATGTGTTCTCGTAATAGGGTCTGTGGTCATGGTCTGCTTCAAAATTACAGATGCTACATGAATGCAAACTTCAATAGTCTGAATGGGCAAATCAGCTATCGTTGGTTCTAAACACTCTCTTGCTGTTGGTTTTTATGTCTTTAACTATTACATAACCATGTCTGAAGCCTCTCTGGCCATTTTTTGGTACAGAATGCAAACACTCATTTTTTAGGGTAAATTACGTGTTGGATATTTAAACTATCAGTTTTAATACTTAAACTTTCAATTTTTTCAAAATCATACCTAACGTTTAGTTTTTGTTTTATTTTAGCAGCACACCGTTAAAAACTTAAGGGATTGGTTCGTCGACAACCATTTCTACAGTCGTCGGCCGTCACATCTGTCGACCAATGAAGTCCAAACTTTCCATTCTGCACCTTTTCGATCCTCTAAATGTGATTCCGGCCTCCGTTTCACCAAAAAAATGTCTCAATCTCCCCAAATCAACGATTAATTCTTCGACTTCTTCATCCTCTGGTCTCCATCGTCAACCGTCTGATGGGCCTGGAATTAGACTATGTTGGTCGACTCGTCATTCTCTCGTGGTCCACCGTTTAGATTGGTCGTCTGTCCACTGGAGCTATGCCTTGTCAGTCTGTTCGTTAAGTTTTAACGGTTGGGTACTAAAATGAAACAAAAACTAAACGTTAGGCATGATTTTGAAAAAAATTAAAAGTTTACGTACTAAACTCGTAGTTTACCCTTTTCTATTTCAAGAGCTAGGGGTGAGCGTTTGATGAGTTGAGTCGAGTAAAAAAATTTGGGTTATTTGAGTTGACGAGTCATATTTTACAACTCACATTTTACTTCAATATTTTTTATTTGAGTTTATGTTTAAATTTAATTATAAATATTTATAACATTATAGTATTATTTGATTCCAATTTAAACGCTTTTCTATAACCATGTACATTACATGTATATTTCTTTATATTTTTTCATATGTGATATACAGTTATCATATAGAGTCGATTGACTTAACTCAAACTTGAACATCGATCCATTAATTATTAAAAAAATTCAAATTATTTGAGTTATATTTTATAAGTCGACTCGAATTTGAAATTACTTGAGCCAAGTCTAGTTTATGAAATTATGACTCAAAATTAATTCTAGTGGAGTCGAAAAAAATTAATTTTTTTCAAATTAACAAAAAGATTAGGGACATTTTTCAAATTAATTCTAGTGGAGTCGAGTTTTACTCATCCCTAACAAAAGTAACAATACTAAAAAGATAAAAGAGAAACTACCTAAAATATTAGGGACATTTTTCAAATTAATTTTTTATTAATATGAAATGAAAATAATACAATATATGTGCAAGAACTTTCAATCATTTGATATTGAACGTTCAGATAAATCCCTGCATACTTGATGCCCTAATCTAGAACTTGAAAGAATAACAATAATAACTTAACTCTGACAAACTCAACCCATTCGAGAATTTGACACCTCAACTCCACACCTTTCCTTAATTTTTTTCAATCAAAAGATCATATATTGACAAAAAATTATTTTTTTATTAAGCTAGAGGTGATTACAAAGTAGTATATGTTCTAAGTACACTTAACCATTTGACAATAAACGCTCAATCACCATTGCAATCTGTCAACATTGTTTTTTTGCCTGGGTGGGAAAAAAACTAGTACGACTTAAGGGGTTTTTCTTTGAAAAGATTTTGAAATGTAGGAAGTTGCCACCAATTATTTTAAGGTGCGATCGGGACACCATAAAAACCAGGTGATTTTAATAAAACATTTTATTTTTATCAAAATACTAAGTTTAGAGTCTAAGAAAACCAGAAAATAGGTTCGGGAGTCAGTTAGGAGTGGGGAAGGATTAGCACCCCCACAGTGCCAAAAAATTGGTAACTAATTGATTGCCCTATATTTAAAATTGAAAATTTTGAGTTCGAACTTCATCTAATTTAAAAATCATTACGGATGCAAAGTTGAAAAGGGTATTCCTTTATTAAAGCCAATAACATTTTCCCCTAGCATGAATGCGGGAGATCAGCTATTGTGCCAAATAATCAAACATTGCCTCGATATTTTAGAAAATCATAATGCAATCTTGAAGAGGATTTTGACCTATTTCGGGAATCACTAGTAGTCACCCCCTGAGCATACTTGTGGGAGATATACTATTGACTCCTTCATAAGTGAACATTGCCTTAGGTTCTAAAACATGATGCAATCAAACGATTTATTATTAATCCTAATTAAACTAAAGGTTGATTAAAGCTTTTTCTATCTTTAAGTGTCAAATTATGAATAATTAAAGAGCCTAGATGAATAAACCTAAAAATGTAGGCTCTAATATTAATTCTACTTGATTTTATCCAGTTATTAAATCGAATAATCGATATGATCCCTTGAGCATTTAGGCGAGGGCCAACTCATATTACTCCCTAAATTAAAGGGACTAAATTAAAATCTAATCTAAAGTGGAGGATCTAATATTAACTTAAATTAATTTTAATCAATATTGTAATTCGAATAATTAAAGTGGAACCTTGAGCAAAAGCGAGGACCAAATTAAGAATTCTCCTAATTTAAGGACTAAAGGTGAAATTAAGCCTAAGATGAAGGCTCTAATATTAATCCTAATTAATTTTAGTTAATTATGAAGTATCGAATAATTAATTCGGAACCTTGAGCATAAGCGAGGACCAAATAAAAAATTCTCCTAAATTAAAAGTTTAGGGATGAAATTTAAAGGAGCCTAAATTTAAGGACTACACCTAAAATCTAAGTAATCTAGATTAGTAATAAAATATTCTAAATCTAAATCAAAAGGTTTAATAATTAAAATCTAAAATTGAGACTAAATGTGAAGACATTTAAAATTAAAGGAAAAATTAAAAGTAACTACCAAATAAAAGGACTAAATTGCAATCAATTAAAAATATAATTATGAAATTAAAACATAAAGTAAAAGGACCAAGATGCAAGAAATCAAAATATAAAGAATAAATCGAAACAATGCGAAAAATTAAAAGCTGGAATTGAAATGCCTAAAACGTAAACAATTAATAATTTTAAGCAGAAATTAAAATAACAGAATGTCAAAAGGAAAAAGTTTAAATAACAGTAACTAAATAATCGAATATAAAGTTATAAGTTAGGGGTTAATTTAAAAAGACAAATGATCTAACCAGGACTAAATTAAAAGAAATTTAAAATTGAAGGCAAAATTGAATACAAAAGGACTAACTTGAAGTGAATCAAAAATGCAAAGCTAAAATTAAAACGTTAAGTAAAGGACTAAAATGTACAAAATAAAAAAACAATATCAAATCAGAAGTAAACAATGAACAAAATGCATAAATTGAAACTACGACATAAAATTCGAAAATAAAATAAAGAGACAGAATCAATCAGTGGCTAAAATGAAACAAAACAAAAATCAATGACTAATTTAAAAGGAATAACATAGTAAACAAGTGACTAAAATAAAAAGTAATAAAATTCAGCATGTCAAAATCAAAATAATAAAAAGATTTCAGTGACTAAAGTGTAAAAATAAAGTATAATGACTAATATGTAAGGACTTTAATCCTATAGGGCTAAAACTAAAA